CCCACCGCCGGATAGCCCTGCCTGCACCGAGCAGCCCTGGAGCGCTGGTGCCACCTCTGCTGCCCAGGTGACGGGCAGCAGCAGAGAGCCGCTGCTCCCCAGCGGAGCCCTCCACGGATCTCTCTGCCCCTGGCAAGCAGGAGTGCACCGGAGCCGGCTTCACCCACCTCTCCAGCATGCGGACACCGACGGCGATGATCGTGGGGCTGGTGCTGTGCCCCTGCGGGCTGCTGCTGACGCTCACGGGCACGCTGGCACCCAACTGGAGGCAGGTGAGCTACATACCTAACCAGCCCGTTGACGTCGTCTTGGAGCAGGGCATCTGGGACATGTGCAGAGAGCAGCAGAGCAGCCGTGACCGTCGCTGTGGGCAGGCTGATGAGCTGGGCTACTTTGAGCAGATGCCTGTGCAGGCAGCCCAAGGGCTGATGCCCACCTCACTGGTGCTCACCCTCCTAGGCTTGGTGGTGGCTGCCCTGGGGGTTCGCTGCTGGCAGAAGGAGCCACGGCACCTGCTTGCTGGTGTGGCAGGGCTTGTGCTGCTCCTCTCAGGGCTGATGAGCCTTGTGCCTGCCTCCTGGTACACCCATGAGCTGTGGGCACTGCCTGCACCAGCTGGCAGCACCCTGGTTGTAGGCTACAGCTTGGTGCTGAGCTACTTAGGAAGCTGCCTGGAAATCTTGGGGGGGCTGGCCCTTGCCCTCAGCTTCCACCACTGCTGCAAGGAGCACAGGGCCCCCAAACTGCCCCCCAGCCCTGTGCTGGAAGCTGGGCCATGCTCCACCATTGGGGCTTACCGCAATCCCTGGGACGTGCTGGAGGACGAGCGAGATGGACAGCACTGGAGGAGCACCCTGCCTTGTGACTCTGACTTGTAGCTCCAGCACAGGGACAGCAGTGGGCACCAGCCAGCCTGCCCACCTGCCTGGCACCAAGCGCAGCGCTGGCTCCTGCCCCTCCAAGCCATGCCCTTCTCTTGGGGCACCTCAGAGCAGGCTGGAAATGAGACCAAGGACCTGGCTTGAATCTCTGCAACATCCTCAGAAGCCTGCCATGCTCCAGGTCCCACAACTGCGCCAAAGCCATGCTGGGTTGAGGACCATCCCAGGCTCCAGTTCCTCCATGCAGCTTTTAGCTCATCCTCCTGCACTGTGCAGCAGCTCAGGCAAAGGCATTCCCATGCGAGCAAAGTACAGGTTAGCACTGTGTAGCCTTCAGGGCTGGGAATAGGGGAGGGCAGCACCTCCTACCTGTCTCTGCTCAACTCAGGACTGTGCAAACAGCAAAATAAATGAGGAGGAACAGGTCTGTGCTGTGGGATGGTTATGGGCTTTCTGCCAGGCAGGCTGGGCTGAGAGCCAGTGGGCACAGCTAACCCAGCTCCCCTGTGGTTTGCCTGAAGCAGGGGGAAAAGGTCTGTAAAAGGGGGAAAGTAGCTTTCATGGCACCTTCCTTGAGGACCTTTCCCCCATGGTCAAAGTCAGCTCTGGAAGAGGTTTCTCCTTCCTGGAGCACAGCCACTTCAGGGGAGAAAAAGAGAAAAAAAAAAGAAAAAAGATCACAGGGAAAAAAAAATAGCTTATATTTCCCCTTTCATCATTAGCTTGGTGCGAGGCAGTAAAACTGGTCTCACTGGTCTGTAAGGGACACTCAGGAGGTCAGAACTGCATTAAAAAATCCTGCCTGCACCCTGCGTAACAGGGCAAGAGCCAAGCCAGCTTTCCTGCAGAGCTAACCATCAAGATTTCTAGCCCAGGCGAGCCCAAAGCACCCTGGTCAGCAAGCTAAGCCTTGCTGCAGGGGGACAGTGGATTGAGATGCCCTAAGTGTGGTTAAGGGGTGGTACAGGATGTGAGGGATCAGATTCAGATAGCTCAGAGACTGTGTTGGAGCTGGAGACTAACTGAAAAACCTTCCAAAGCGTTGTGCTCTGGACTGTAAGTTCCCTAGAGCTCAGAGACCTGGGAAGAGCAAACCAACCTCTCCTCCCCAGCCCACACACAAACCACAATAGCACCAGAGAGGCTGCGCAATGTGACTTTATGAAAACACAGTGTCGGGGCGAGATGGTCCCTTCCTCAGCGGGGCTGGCAGCTCCTGCAGAGATCACAGATGGCTGCATCAGGGATAAGCCTGAGACGGCTTCCCTGGGCCCACACCACACCTTGGCACAGGGGCTCCAGCCAGAGGTGGAGCAGGACAGGCCCTGTACCAGCCAGACTCCTTCAGGCACCCCAAGCCTTTGCCCCTCTCCCCCAGTGGGAGGGCAGAGCTTGCCTCAAGAAGTAGGCACCATGCCAGCACTGGGCCTGGGGAGGGATCAGCACCAGGGGGTCCTTGGGGCACCCCAGGGTAGCTGGGGGGTCCCTACCAGGGCCTGCTCCAGATGCTGCTCACCTCTTTTCCATTGTAAGCTTCATTCACAAAGGTATCACTCTTGGGAGGAAGCTCTTCCTCCTCCTCATCCTCTTCCTCCGGGTCGCTTTCACGGTGGTACAAGGTCAGCACCCGAGTGGAGGCAGTGCTTGAGGTCCTGGGGAAAAAAAAAAAAAAAAAGTTCACTGAGGATGGCATAGCCATCTCCTAGAGATAGGGCAGACCCCAAGGTCCTGCCACAACCCGCAGTAATAGTCTGCTGGGGTGATCAGAGCTTTCCACACAGCCCAAGAGTACCCTAGGACACCACACTGTGCCTGGGCAGGGTGACCCTGTCCCTCTCCATCCCCAGCTGTACCTGGCCCAGCCCCAGAGCTCACCTCCTCCGCCTGTCCCGTCTCCGCATGTAAGCCAGGGCCCCCACAGCAGCAGCAGCGAGCAGCAGGAGCACAGCCACCCCCAGGGCAATAGGTCCTGCAACAGGCTGCACCTCTGCCTCCTCGCAGTAGTCACCACGATAGCCCAGGGCGCAGTGGCACGTCACTCGCCCAGCCTCGATGGCGCAGTCCCCACGCAGGTTACACGTCTCGCTGCTGCACGGCACAGCCCCCAGCACCTCCTCCGTGCTAGGGGGTACCAGGAATGGCTCTCCATGCTCCCGGGGGCCAGGGGCTGCAGGCAGGCTGGGGCCAGGCTGATGAGGCTTAGATGCAGCTGTGGGCAAGGCTGGTTTCTGTTCTTCCACGTGGGACATTCCTGATGGTGCCACCGTGGGGATCCACGTCCTCACCTCCATGGAGGGGCCTAGGGCAATGGGCATAGATCAGCAGAGATCCAAGTGAGACACCCCCCCCTTCCCAAACTGGGGAAGACTGGGCAGGCTCCCCTCGTGCCCAGCCAGGACCCCTGCACACCCTGGCTGCGGGCAGGCACTCACAGCCAGACTCATCGGAGCCATCATCACAGTCCAGTCGCCCATCGCAGACCTGCTCTGCAGAAATGCAGCTCTGGAGGTCAGGGCAGGCCTGGAGCGGGGCTGGGCAGGGCAGCGCCAGCGTGCATGCCACCCCACGCACCAGGTGGTAGCCAGGGGAGCAGCGGCACAGCCGCCCTGTGGGGTTGGGCAGGCATAGCTGGGCACAGCCCCCATTGCTCTTCGCGCAGCCATTGGTGCCTGCCAAAATAGCACGGGTTAGCATGGCCACCGCACACCACACCTCAGCCCTCCAGATGCCCCAGGCCAGGGCAGACCCAGACCCACCTTCCTGCGAGAACTGGCTGTAAATCTTCATGGCTACCAACTCCTGCTCCATTGGGAACCACCAGCTCTTGGCCTGCTCCAGCCGGCTATGCCAGATCTTGCTGGAACCTGGAGACACGTGGGGTCAGCACTGCCCCACCTCCTCCTGTAAGTGTGCCTGGGATGGGAGGTGGGGTCCCCCAGCCTGCCCTTCACCCCAGGGAGAGGCAGCCTGCACCCCACAGGCACTGGCAGAGACCCCTGTCCAGGAGGAGCTGGACAAAGCACAGCAAATGGACTCACCGTTGGTTGAGGTCGTGCTCCAGAGCAGGAAGCCTTCTCCGATGGCAAAGAGTGAGAGGCCATGGAGCCCTTCCCGCACCACCCGGAAGCGGGATCCGTCCAGCTCGACGCTGCTGATGGTGCCTCTCTCTGCAGAGCACAGATGCAGGGACATCAGATGTGGGGGCACAGAGGGCTCTGGGCTGCCCCTTGGGGTCATGCTGGGCTTTGTCCTGTGGACTGAGTGCCTGCACCACTACTACCCCCAGCAGTGCCCCGGCTCAGCCTGCACTCACCACGGTCTGCCCAGTACAGCCGGGTACTGGCACCCCCGAAGGTGAGGCCCGTGGGAGCCCAGGCTTTCCTCCAGACCGCTCTGCGGCCAGTGCCGTCCATGGCCATGCACTCCACCGTGGCGCCGGGCCCACGGCTGCTGGCTGCTGTGACGAAGCACATGGTGGAGGCGCGAGGGCACAGCGCCAGCCAGGCAGCACCCTGCAGCCCCTCACTGAGCAGTGCCAGGGCCCACCGCCCCCCAGGAGCTGCCATGTGGATGCTGGGTGGCTGCCCCCCGATCCAGTACAGGTTCCCGCTCAGCCAGTCCAGGGCCAGGGATGTCACCATGCCCTCCACAGTCACTGCCTGCCTCCAGGACAGCCGGCCCCAGTCCTTTAGGCGCAGCAGCCCGATGGAGTCACCCCCCACCTCGGCAAAGTACAGGCTCTTGTCTTTCACTGCGTAGTCTACGGCTGTCAGACGGCCCACCTTGGCCAAGGGCAGGGCCCGGTGCGGGGGAAGACCTTGGGATCCAGATGTTGTGGGCAGGTCCTTCAGGTAGACCTGGAGGAAGGAGGTAGCACTAGTACGGGCACCCCACTCCCCTGACAGTGGTGAGGACAGCAGCCCCCAGGGCCGGCTCTGCAGGACGGTACCTGTGCCACAGCTGCTGGTGACACCAGGAGGGCAAAGGTCGAGTCTCGGATGGGCAGGCAGGTGGTCTCGTCGGCAGCCAGTGTCAGCCCGGCAGGGCACCGGCACTGCCCAGTGTGCCTGGTGCTCAGCAGGCCCAGGTGGGAGCAGCCACGCCACGCACGGGTTAGGGGCCACGGGGCGCAGGGCTGGGTGTATCACCTGTGGGAAGGGCCGGCTCAGCCCCACAGCACCACGAGCACCCAGCAGTAGAGCTGAGCCCCACTGACACCACACCATGCTCCTGAGGCCTGGACACAGCCCAGCTGGGGGCAGGGCGGTAAGGCAGAGGTAATTCAAGAGGACCAGGGACCCTTGACCACAGGGACTGCTGCCCAAGGACCACCAGGATGAGGGTGCAGCTCCCAGTGGCTCTGCACTCAGAGAATGGTAGGGCCATGCAGGGTGGCAGCCCCAGCAGAGCTGGCGCAGCAGGTTTCGGGGCTCCCCCAGGTAGGTACCTGGAGGCCATGGGGTTGCCCATGTCGCTTGAGCAGCACAGTCCTGTTCTTGCCACTGGTCTTGTCTACCTGCTGCACGGACCATGCCTTCCTCTCCGACCAGTAGAGCTGCCCCTCACACACAGCCACCGCAAAGGGGCTCTGGACCCAGCCCAGTTGCAGGACCTGGCAGAAAGGCCATGAGCACACACCCTGGTGGCCCCTGTCAGGGCCCCTTCACCAAAGCCCCACACACAGACCTTCACACTGGTGCCATCCAGACGTGCAGAACCGATGCTGCTCAGTTTTTCATCCAGCCAGAAGATCCTCCAGGTGGGGAGGTCGAGGGCCAGTGCTGTGGGCCAGCCCAGCCCCTGGGCCAGAAGCACATGCCGCCGACTCCCATCCATGGCAGCCTCCATCAGCCGCGGGTGGCTCCCCACCTCTGACCAGTACAACAGCCTGTCGGGAAGAGAGGTGCTGGCCCATGGACCATCACAGCATCATCCCCCAACCAGCACAGCCCAGAGGAGCAGTGTGAACTTCCCATCCCATCACAGACACATTGAGAACTCCACCCAGGGCAGGTGCCTGGGTGCCTTCTTCCCCAGTCACACAGCCCCAACAGCACCAAGGTGAGGCCATCCCAACTCTTCCCCAGCCTGCCTCCATGGAGGAAAATGGGGTAGGGTGGGGATGGCAAGGAGGTCCCCACGTCCTCTTGTCCCAGCCTTACCCTGCCAGAGGCTGGAGCACCAGGGAGTGGGGCCGGTCCAGGTCTCCATCCATGACCACAGCGTACTCTGGTATCCCCCGCCAGGCAGCCCCCAGGCGAGTGGCCAGCACCTGCCCTCCTACACCATCTGTCCAGTACAGATTCCTTCCGAGCCAGTCCACAGCTATACAGTCCGATCTTACACCTGCAACATGCCCAAGAGTCAGCACCCATGGGCTGACAGCTGCATGGCCCTCTGGCACAACGCTCCCAGCCCAGGTCCCCTCCCATCCCAGGAGCTCTGGCTCCTCCCAAACCTGCTCCCACCTGCACCACTCCATGCAAGGGGATACAGCCTGGCACCTGACTGTAACCTGGAGAGTGCACAGCCACAGAGAGGCCACCCCTGCTAACCACATGCTCTCACAGCCCACCTTTCACCAGTGTGCCTTTCTTGCCAGAGTTGAGATCCTGCCAGCGGATGCTCTCTGTAGCCAGATCCATCCAGAAGACTTTCCTTTCCACCAGGTCATAGTCAAGCGAGAAGACAACGCGATCCTTGTCAGTGGCCAGCAGCACCTCCTCACGCCCACTCCGCAGGCCATAGGACAACACCTCTGACTGCACAGCCACCAGCAAGATGGGCTCTGGTCCTGAGGCAACACAGAGCCGCCCGGACCCTGCTCAGCACTGGTGGCCCCACGACATGCAGAGGCAGGGAACATGGCAGTCACAGGCACTGGAGCCCGCTGGGACTCAGCCCTACAACACAGCATGGTCCCCAGCTAGTGCAGGTGGATTTTCCAACCAGCCACGGGCTGACAAGCAGCAGCTCACAGCTAGGTGGGGCCAGGGAGGCCATGTGGCAGAGGGGACAGGACCATTCGTGGGACTACAAGGCTCCCCGTGGACAGCAGGCATGGGGGGACAGGTACCCACTGGCTCCTGGTGCACCCTAGAGTGCCAGGGACCCTCAGCACTGCTTCGGCTTACCAGTGAGTTTGCAGACATGGCCATCGGGCTCCAGCAGGTAGCCAGGGAGACAGTCACAGCTGTAGGACCCTGGGGCATTGCGGCACGTCTGGCTGCACGCTCCCTCGCCCTGCTCTGTGCACTCATTTATGTCCATGCAGGACAGACCATCCTCAGCCAGCTGATAGCCTGGGTCACACCAGCACCGCTGTGGGGAAAGGGGCTGTCACAGTCCCCCCTTGGGGACACATGAGGGTCCCTCCTGCAGCTGGACCAGGGCAGCATGGCAGGGTAAGCCCTGGACCAGGGCTGCTGGCACTCACAGGGCCCTGGGGTGAAGGGTAGCAGAGATGAGCGCATGACTGCTGGCAGGGCACAGAGCAGTTCCCCGCCTCGTCCGAGCCGTCAACGCAGTCCTGATGGCCATCGCACACCAAGGATGCATTCAGGCATACCCCCAGCCCACATGGGTACTCGTGACTCTGGCAGGGAGCAGGTTGGCCTGCAGGGACATACAGGGAAGGCTGCCCTAAGCCTTGTCCACCAGCTCCTTTTGCTCAGCTGGGGCAGATTCAACCGCTCCCACAGGGTACCCAGGGCTCACTGCAGCCACTGCAGCTGTGCCTGTAGCCTGGCTTCAGGCTATCCTAACCCTAAGGCCACCAAATCCTGCAGGGACAACAGCTACCCAGGGCCTGGAGCCACCACAAATGCTGGGAAGAGGCAAATGGTACATAGGACCTTTCATCTTGGTACAGAGACTTCCCCACCTCCCTCTGTGCTGAGCACCCACCAACCACCCCTGGGTGAGACACAGAGGGGATAAAAGCAGAGTGTTGCTCACAGCCAGCTTCATCGCTGCCATCTGTGCAGTCACTCTCTCCATCGCAGCGCCAGACATCAGGGATGCACTCGTGGCCATGGGAACAGCCCCACTGCCGGTCCCCACACAGCCCTTCCTCCCAGGGACAGCCCTGCAAGAGCAGAGAGTGAGCAGGGCCACCAGCCCTCCTGGGAGCAAGTAGGGACAGGCTATGTCCCCATCACCCCACCCACCTCCTCATCTGTGCCATCCCCACAGTCGGCAGCGCCGTCGCAACGCCAAGCCTCTGGCACGCACTCCGCACTGCGGGGACATGCCACCTCGCCTGTGCGGCAGAGCAACGGCCGGGGCATGGCACAGCCCTCCTCATCCGAGCCGTCCTGGCAGTCACGGTCACCATCGCAGCGCAGGGCCAGGGCCACGCACTGCCCACTCCGGCAGGAGAACTCAGCTGGGCCACACTCCTTTGGCACTGCAGGCAGGACCAGGGCTGAGTGGGGGCACTGTCTCCATCCCCGTCACCATGCCCATCCCACCAGCAAAGGCATGACACTGAGCAGGGTATGGCCTTCTCTAGCTGCTTGGCAGGCTGCCCTGGGCAGTGCCTGCTCCTGGACCCACAGGAAACTTAGTGCACCCAGCTGTCGGGCAGCTGACCCCCAGAAGCCCCTGTGCCACCCAGCCCCAGGGTCTCACCACAGCCCTGCTCATCGGCATGGTCCAGGCAGTCAGCATGACCATCACACAGCCAGCTCTCAGGGATGCAGTGGGTAGCAGTGTCACAGCGCAGGGCGCACTCCTGCGTGGGGCTCCAGCAGCCCGCCTCATCCGAGGCATCGGGGCACTGCGGCACCCCATCGCAGTGCTCCTCAGCCCTGATGCATATGGCTCCGCTTGCACAGTGGAAGGCCCCTGGGGACAGAAGGAGCCTTGCTAAGCCTGCAGTAGGCAGCCGGGGTGCCCAGACCCTCTGCTAGCCCCACGGTGACCTAGAATGGCCCCACACTACAGTGACAGGGCTTGGTTCCTCCTAGTCAGCGCATCTCCAGCAGCCTAGGTCCCAAGCAAGGCGACTAAGGCAGTCTCAGCTTAGCCACATCTAGGTCGCTGTGAGCAGCGGGGCCATCTCTGTCCCCTTCTGACAGCACCTCCAGCCCAGTGCCAAGCTCAGAAGAAACCAGTATGTCACATCACAAGCATCAGAACCCAGGACACACTCAGGCCTTCCCCGGGTCCCATCCCACCAACCCCACCAGGAAGCAGCCAGAAGCCCTGGCACGGGGTGACCCAGCTGCGCAGGGGACTGAAGAACAGCTCCTACCTGGGGTGTCGCACAGCTGGGCACACCCATCCTCGTCAGAGCCATCTGCGCAGTCCTTCTCCCCATCACACACGTACTCCTGGGCCACGCACTCCGTGCCATCACGGCAGGGCACATGCGTGCGAGGACAGGACAGATGGAGGACTGGGGTCAGGGGGTGTGCAGGGCTGGACAGGAGGGGTGGGGTAGATGGCACTACCCATGCAGGGCTGGTCAGGCGTTGGGTGGTAGTAGTTGGCTGTGGGGCAGTGGTCTTGGTTGGCAAGGACCAAGTGGTGGTGGTGGTGGAGGCTGGCCGCACAGTGGTGGTCTTGGTTAGTGTTGTCTGGGCAGTGGTTGGTGCAGGGGTAGTCTTGGTTGATGTGGACTGGCTGGTGGTGGTCGGTGTTGTGGTAGCCTTGCTGGTT